TGAAGAATGCCTTTGCTAGGCTAATGAATAGATGGGACACTACCAAGTAAAGAATCAGTGACCTTGAAGAAATGTTAATAGGAACTTCCAGAACTGAAATGCAAACAGAAAAAAGAATGAAGAAGACTGACTATAATATCCAGGAAGTGTGGGACAATTACAAAAGGTGTTACATATACATGATGAGGATACCAGGAAGAGAAGAAAGAGAGAAAGGAACAGAAGAAATATTTGAAACAATAATGACTGAGAATTTCCCAAAATTAATGACAGGCACTAAACCAGAGATCCAGGAAACTCTGAGAACACAGAGAAGTATAAATACCAAAAAAAATAAAGTTAGGCATACCATATTCTAACTTCAGAAAATCAAAAATAAAGAGAAAATCCTGAAAGAAGCTGGAGGAAAAAATTATCTTATCTATAGAGGACCAAGTATAAGAATTACTCAGAATTTCCATTTCTTCTGTCAGATTGGCAAATGGTATTTTTGATTAATTTCTCCATTTTATCTAAATTGTCAAATTTATCTGTGTAATTATTTATAATATCCCCTTATTATCTTTTAAATGTCTGCAGACTCTGTAGAGATGTCCTCTTTTTCATTCATAATACTGGTAATTTGTTCTCCTTCTCTCTCTCCTTTCTCTCTCTCTCTCTCTCTCTCTCTCTCTCTGAGTATTCCAGGGATTTTATCAATTAGTATGTTGGCTTTCTAATTCAATGATTTCTGCTCTTATATTAGGTTATTAAGTATGGAATGTCCAATTTCCTTAAGTGCTAAGTTTGACAGTTGATATCTCTGACATATCACTTTGACACTTCTTGCTTTATTTCTATTGTGAAGGTACATCCTCAGTCTTTCAAAAGCACATTTTGGCTTGTGATTATCTTTCAAAAAATTTTTTTATGGCAATTTTTGTGAAACCATGGATAAGTCAAAAATTTGTGTTATTTTCAAATATGAGTTCCGTCATGGAACCAATACAGCCCAGACAGCTCAAAATATCAACTAAGTATTTGGGAAGGATGTGGCTAATGAATGCATAGTATGTGGATGGTTCGAGAAGCTCCATTCTGATGATTTTAATCTTGAAAATGAGCTACGTGGGCTACCTGAGACCAAGGTGGATAACGATGAGCTGAAAGCTGTAGTGGAAGTGAATCTATCTCAACCTACACATGAATTAGCAGCAAGGTTTGACATTACTATCCAACAATATTGGAGCATTTGAAACAAATGGACAAGGTAAAGAAGCGGGATAGATGGGTACTGCATGAATTAAACGAGTGTCTGAAGAGAAATCTTCTCGAAGCTTGCCTTTCTTCGCTGTCACAACGAACCATTTCTACACCGTATTGTTACACGTGATGAAACATGGATTCTTTTTGACAATTGCAAGCATTTGGCA